GTTGCATTAGGTAAATCTGCTGCATAAGACCTCTTTTGAGGATGAAGGTGCACCTGACTCAAGTCATGATATTTTCAATTGCTTTATATGCATGTGAAAGTTAAGACATTGAATACAGAAGACCCAAGAAGAATTGATGCATTTGAATGGTGGTACTGGAGAAGAATACTGAAAATACCGGAACTGCTAAAAGGACAAACAAATCTGTGTTGGAACCAGTATAGCCAGAGTACGCCTTAAAGGCAAGGATGGTGAGACTTCATCTAACATACTTTAAACATGTTGTTAGGAGGGGCAGTAAAAAAGAGAAAGGCCTTCAAGGAGCTAGATTGACACAGTGGTTGCAATAATGGGCTCAGGCACAGGAACAATTGTGAGGATGCTGCAGGATCTGTCAGTGTTTCATTCTGTTGTGTATAAGGTCAATAAGGGTCAGAACTGACTTGATTGCATCTAACAACTTCTCCAGTTACTTGTCTCTCCTGATAACATGTTTTCGTTATTCAATGTCCAAATTTCAAGTGCATATGAGGCCATTGAAAATACCATGTCTGGGATCAGGCGCACCTTAGATCTCAAGGTAACAACTTTGCTTTTCCATATTATAAAGAGGTTTTGTACAGCAGATTCACCTAATGCAACTCATCTTTTGATCTCTTGACTGCTGCTCCCATATGCATTCGTTGTGGATCCACCTCAACCTTTATCATGATTTTATCTATTAGTATAATTATGAGGATTTAGGGCTTAGGATTTAGTATAATTATGAGGATTTAGTATAAATAAGGATTTTTCCTATTTCCTATTAGTATAATTATGAGGATTTAGGATTACATTGTGTTGTAATCCATCCTGAAAGCTGCAATACTTGAACTTCATTATCCAGCTCTTCAAATTTTTCCTTCCTCCCTGCTTTCAGAAAGCAAGTTCGTGTCATTTCCATATCACACACTGATAAGAATTCTTTCAGCCCAAGTTTATGATCCACACAAATATCTCTGCATATACAACAAAACACAAGTAAACATCTAACTAATATGCTCAGTTTTCAGGCAAGATCCATCTAATGTCAGCAACGATACACTTCATTCCATTCTCTTCAGAATCCAGTTGAATTTCTGGCAGCTCCCTTCTGAATGCACACCTAAATTTGTTTTTAAAGTATGTTCATCAAAATTTTACTTAGATGTGATATTAATGAAACTGTTGTATAATGTTCTACTATATTAATTATATTTTTCCATATTCTGTTGGATAACCTTTCTTTGGAATACTCAAATATAAATCTCTTCCAGT